TTCCTTTCACAAATTTGGGATATTTTTTCAACAACTCGTGTTTTAGTCCACGTGGAATTTGTCTTGGGATAAATGTCAGTATTAAAGCTCTATTCACGAAAAAATCGGCACAAACAAAGATAACGTTAACAGAGGTGGGTTCGTCGACAGACGTGCAATTTTGTATTAATATTGTTTTCGTGGAAAATTTTTACATTTACAAACTTGGTTTTTTTTCACACTGCGTCTGAAGAAACCTAACTCTTGCTTTATCTCTGATTCTGCCTACAAATAATCGAACTCATCATTTGCATCAGTAGTCGTGGTAATTTATGTTTTAGTGTGTAAGAACCCGATTAGTGGCTCACGAGTTGAGGATATGGGATGCTGGAAGTACTCATTGATCTCACACGAAATATGTCATTTTCGGTTTTAATTTCAATCGTGAATGAATTACGTGTTTATGCTTGCGTGAGACTGCATGCGATATTCCTAGAAGGCTCTTATTAAAAATGACCTGTTGTTTTCTTAGTCACTCGATGGATTTCTGTTGCGTTGCTCGATAAGCAACTCTATGCCCAAAAGCCTAGTGATTACAATGGCAGTGAAACAATTTTTTTCAAAAAGAGATTATAAAACCAGGACACAAAGCTAAGATTAAACTTTTATGAGTAAAGCTGCATAATTTTTTATTGTTATCAAATGATTACGATGAGGACGCCAAATACGAGATGCTTTAGCCAATTTTTGCAAAACCCGTTCAAGTTAATATTCTCATCTGCCAAAGTTTTGGCTCTGATAGGATGTAAAGTGAGCGTGTGGCCCGACCATGAAGCTGCCGTTGGTAGAAAGGCCTTAGTCTGTCAGCAGGCACTGTCCTCGTTCACGGTTCGCTTGATAATACAGACCCTTTAATCTCGCCCAATTGCCATGAGCGGAACATAGTTGGTCAAAGAGGTCACCTTCTGCAAAAAACCACCGCCTTTGGGGTGCACGAGGTCGAACAAGACAGACAGGTTTAAGAGGGTTCAGAGTGGCAAGTAAGTAATCAATGTTCTTGCATAAGTCAGGTCATGACATTTAAAAAAGACCTGCATATATTCGTCCATGTACTTTCAGAGATGTTTCGACAACCATTTGTATCAATGGGCATCCTGGTCTATAGTCTACGGTCATCGAGTTTCGCGCAAAAATCAGATTTAACAATTCTGTCCAACATCCTACATCACCATGGTTAGATACCAGAGTTTTTAATTTACAGCTAAACACACCACGATGCTACATAAATTCGGATGATACGCCCCCGTGCAAAGTGGGTTATTACCATGAGTCGGCGGAGGTTTTCGATTGAGCTCATTTCGGACTCCGTTCCTTCGTCTGTTGAATGTTGTAATGGGTCTTGTTCTGTAAATCCATTTGCCGAAAAACATTGCAGCTATCGTGGGAATTCAGAGCATTCTACTGTTTGGTGAAACAGCCGGTTTAAGTCATTGAAAAAAACATCCTAGTGTTCCAGTTGTGTTACGATAACCGGAATGCAAGACACACCTGTCAATAACCAAAAGTATTTTCGTTCATTCTTTTCTTTTAATGCTGAGGTCACTCAACCACAAAAGTTCCCATGACAATGCACCTGATTTTAGACTTAAAAAAACATAAAATTTTTCAGAACTTCTTCTGGACCCAAATGAGATTGCAGCTTCAACAATTCATTGAGATATTTTCATGGGTGGTGCACTTTCGGATGACACAGTTTTAATTATCTCACAGGTTTCAATTATAAAAAAACGCAACTATAATAATTCAGTTTTGTTAGAAATTTGGGATCAAATATTACAATCATAGTAAAACACGTGACCGGCGCTGCTGTACACTGCTGATTAAACCCCCTTTTTATGAAGCATTAGTTAAGGGGTTAATAATACATCTTGCTGATGAACGAACTACTAGATTATCTGGTTAAAAGTGTTTATCAATAAAGAATTTAATTTTGCCAAAACCCCAGTATAGAAAGTAAATACGTATAGCTTGTTACCGATAGACCGTTCTCTCTTCTGTCCCACTGTCCCTTTATTCCATCAAAGTATTGTTGAATCCTAATCAAAGAAAGACAGCATTGGCAGTGGTTTTCAAATTGTACATGCTATTGAATAGTTTACAAACGAAAAAGCCAACTATCGTGTCTGGGGTTTTTGATTTAATTTTATGACAAAATAAAACCCGCCGTTCCAATCCAGGAAAGTTAATTTGCGTCTTCCAATTCCATTCAAAATGATTTCTTAAGTCTAAGTTTCGCTTATTACGGCAAATGAAGGCCTTCAGTACTATAGCTCACGCTTCTCTTTGCATTCGTTTCAGTAACACCTTGCCTTATGTCTAAGGCGTACGGATCCAGTTGCAACTTACAAATAGTTTATCACACGAAATTTATTGTGGATTTATTCTAAGCCCAAAGGAATCTGAATTTTTGTGATGGAGTTATCTGAAAGGGAATATGGTGCGGCAACGTACCCATCACTCAGACAGCACTGATTCAATTGAAATCCACTCACTTCAGATCAATTTCCCTTATTAAAGTCTTCTGAAGCATCTGATAGGTCTCCTTTATTATGTAGTTCAATAAATTTGACCAAGCGTGCTAAGAAATAGGGTTGAATGGTTCATCAATCTCATTTTAGTAATTGAAATGTTGGGAAACAGGGGAGGTAGGAATTTCAAAAGGCGTTGCCGACGTCACCAGATGAATATCGGCGTTTCCGAAGAATAGTCCTCTGAAGGAGTGAGTCATTTTACCGGTTTCCCTTCAGGTCTGCACACCGACACAGACAATACGCAGTTTTGCCACCTGGGCATACGGTCTTTATTAGAGTCGACTGAATAGTCTAGTCGGTTGAACAGTAATAGAGCCTTTTATCGTAAAAAAAAGAAACATTGGCGTTTTTTGAGCAATGGACAAGAGTTTTAAGTTCTACTAGCTGTTGTAGAAACAAAATAGACCTGGCACAAGAAATAAAGATTGCTGTTTAGAAAAAAAAATTGTAGACTGATTTTTAAGTCTTACAAACTAGCGTGAAATACCTTTTTTGAAAACTAAAAAGAATCCTTTCTGGTGATAAACGAAACATTGCACCACTTGGTCATCGCAAAGATAAATTAGCACTTCACGTAGGAGTTAGGCCGAATAAAACTTAAATCAGTGTGCATGCTACTTAACTACCGGTTTTTTGTGCTCCTTTACCTATTCATGGGATCATTTAGGTGGTTTAAATTGAAAAAAAAACAGGCTACTTTGGGAACCCACAAGCACTGGGTTAACGGAGACATCTGGCTTATGAGGGGTTGAACTTTTAAGCGCTTTAAAGTAGCATTAGCACAAGTAATTACTGCAGACAAATGTTTATGGATATTAACATCCTGATTACCGTGTACACCACCATAATGATAATAGTTCCCTTCGAATGCAAATCTTGTATTATTCGCATCGGAGGTAACATGAATAGGTAGCACAGTTAAGCACAACTCAGACGTTTATTTGAGAAATTTGAGTTCCAAAATGGTCTAGGAAACAAATGTTATAAACTTTCGATCCCTTAGAAAAGATTATGGCCAATAACACCTTTCTGTACTCATCAAAATTATGCTTGCAAAGCTAACCTGGACTGCTCAATGTCTTAATTAATGCCCTTATCCTGGAAATTGATTGAAATTTTCTATACTAATAACCTTGCTTTGCTACTTGATCCATGAGACACAAAGCAAGTGGAAACCTTTAATTTAAAGAACTCATATCGAGTCATCGGAACATATAGTGTTAAATGGGGGCTTTCAAATGACAAGTGATGGTCAGCTTACTTAACTTTACTAGGTTCGCCAGGTAAAACGGACAAACGGTTGCACACTAAAGCTTTTTAAAGCAAACCCAGTGGAATGGGTTTGTTTTTCACAGCGATTGAACACGTATCTCATGGTATTTTAAGGGGACAGGAAGTAATGTGGATAAGGAGAGATGTGATCAACACAGCCTGTTTGGGGCGGCTGGTTGGATTTGAACTATCATTTGTGGTTGTCGGTAAGTCGACCGTGCACGGGGCCAGCGACCGGTACTTAGCAAGCATTTTCAATGTAAGTAGAGAGTTCTCACCTATTCATGGATACGAAGTAAAAAAGCTAGTTTAATACTAGCAAGATTCAATCACCATACCCAGGCCAATTTCCGACTTAATAATCTATTAAGTTGGTCGGTGTAGTTTACCAATTTGATGTAACTATTCATTTGCAAACTTTGGTTATCGCCCTCTCTTCAATTTCACTGCTAACACAAAATACACAATCTCCATGACTTGTGCCAAGGTATTATGCCCTCAGACCACTAGAAGTATCAGTGAACGCTGTTTTTCTTGCGTACACACCATTAAGTAAGTAATCAGTTTTTTCAGTCACCGCAGCTGTTTACCTATTGTCTAAACGCATCAATAAGACCGCATGACAGTGAGTCTCAACAGACGGGGACTAAAGCTCTGCAGCCTTCAGCTCCAATTAAACAGTAGTGTAAGCATCGTTTGATTCCCTTAATTATTATCACAAATAGAACAAATAGGAAACGGTCATTATAATCTCTTAATGAAGTTAATGCCTTTACCAGTTTTTCAAGGCTGAATGTTTTTCACAAAATTAATTGCTACATATGCAGAAATGGAATACTAGAGGAAACTCAAGAAGGTCACCGTTCAGAGCTGCCCTGAAACATCTATCCTCCCAATGGAATAATATCGATTCACTTGAACAGAAAACGTTCGGTCAAATTCCTGCAATTAACGATTTTCAAATCACCAGAGTACTTTTGCCTAGCATTTTGACTTCATCGTATCCTTTGCATTTTTTAACCACAAGCAAAATGTTTTTCATTACAATGCAGACTGTGGTATCTGGTCAGAAGTGTGCTAATTAGCCGAAAAATTATGTTGTTGGGCTTCGCGGTTGAAGTGCCAGTCGAAAACTGCAGCCACTTAAGGGCGCTAAATATGTCCAGTGGCTGGACTGAGTGCACAGTCGTAAACCCGGAGTGGTTTGACTTAGGGCGACGACGACGACGTTGGATGGCGCGTGCAGTGGTGATGAATGTGGCTGCACGTGCGCGCCCCTTAAATCAAGTGGCCCGGGCCCGACACGGTGCCGCCGCCGCCGCCGGCGCGACCGCCAGTCTGGAGATCAAAGTGCGACGTAGTGCCGACACATCGCAGTCTTCTTTGTGAGTCAACCTCATGTGGTGCGAACGCAGACGGAGAAATCAATCGCAGTCAAAGTGCAGTCCTGTCGGCTTACTACGAAACAAAAAACAGGCGACTGAATGTTGAGCGTAAAGGAGAGGCCTGCGAGCTCGTAATTTAGGAACTCGTTACGCGACAGTTGAAATAAATTTCGTCTATTTTCCTAAAACAGGAACATTAAGTTTTTCGGTATATAAACTCGTTGACTGATTACGGCATGCAAGCTACCAATGTTATAAAGAGTAGTTGGCCACGTTGTGTATTGAAATATACTAATTCCGGTCTGTCATCACTTACCCGCGCTCTGGCTTGTCAATTACCCGATGAAATTTATCGTCCTATTCACAGCCACTTAACTGATCGGCAATAATCACTTTGGGCCTCAACGACTTGATTGACCCAACAGTGGTTCGAATACAACATCGTGACCTTATCAACCAGATGGCAGTTTTGTGCTGAAAGTTGTCGACAAATTCACCATCTGAAAGCGAGTGAATTGGTTAAACTCTAACAAACGCCGAGAAACCATACACTTGATTGAATTGACATTCAAAGTAGTAAATAGAAGCCCATCTCGTACAATGAAGTAATCGAATTTAGAGGTAATTAAACTGTCAACATTTTGACTACCAACCTTCGTGCAGCCTGTTATCGTAAATGAAGTTGCGTTTGGGCAGCCATAATCTTTAACTAACTGTAAATTGTATCCCCTTTGTATGTGGCGAATTGGCTTTCAGAGGCATCTCTTAAGGAAATAACAGCATTTGACAATTTCAAGGTTTTAAGTTCTGATAAGCTCTCGTCGCAGTCATGCTATAATTTTTTTTTGTGATTTGTCTATCTTTAAGCTTCATTTCAAATTGACTCATAAAATGTTAAATATAGTTCCAAAGAAATAAAATTGGTACCGAAATTACTTTCGAACCTGCTCGACTTGTGGATTCAAGTTGCATGTTCATTCTACGAAGAGAAGCTGAGTGGAGTTGTCCGGGTAGTGACGCGAATACGTCCAGTAGGCAAATGACTGGTAATTGAGGTTTGGCAACCAGCGTCACCGCCATAGACGAGAGCTTGGAATTGGTCGAGAGTGAAACTGCAACCCATGGCATCATGTTGGTGGTAGACTGTGGGGTTCTACTACCGCGTCCGCGTGTAGAATACACGAATTTTTCTCGACTTAACTACGCGGCGTCCCAAAAAAGTTTCTGGAAAGTCATAAAGTGTCGCACTGAAAATAGGTTTTTTCCAGCTCTAGGAGACTTATAACCTACTTTTGATCAAGTAAACACAGGCACTACAAAAGTAGCAACATATTAAAAGGACACAGCCTTCCGAGCTTAATTGCACATTATTGTTTTTCGGCGGACAACTGGTCATGGTCTGGACAACCGAAGATATGCTAATTCGCTGGCTTCTCAGACTATATATCTAAGGCGCAAATAACTGAAAGCAAGGCTGTTCATACACGTAGTGATGAGCTCACTTATAAATGAGGAAGCTAATTTGCATACTAATAAGTTCTTTTATTTGCAAGATGATTCTAGTTAACTGCTTTTCTCCCCACCAACGAAAAACACATTTCAAATAACAGGTGCTGCAAGTATTACTGAAACTAGGGTGCCCATCTACGGTCTGAAACAGCAGCGTGCAAGCTTTCCGAAGAACATGCCTAACAAATAGCCATCTAGTCCCTTTAAACTACTCCTCAAACTCCCAAAGTGGTGCGGTAAGTTTGCTGTCACGGTCCTTAACACGGACCCTGAATGATCGGTAAATGCAGAAAACGTCTGTGGAAATAAAATTCCAGAGACGAGTCCTCATTCCAGAGTCCTTTTTAGACCAACGTGGTTCCTTTTAATTGTAAACCTATTCAGACAGGATTCTGTTTGTACGCTTTCGTTGATAATTCACTGCCCATATCTTCTGAACTACCACTAGCACCAATAAACCGATGTCAAATCGATGCATCTAAGCTGAGAATAACGAAATTTAACCCAACAAGCACACCTGAAATTGCGAAAATGTGAGGTATGTGTTTCCACCCACTTAGGAGTATTCCGTCCTTGGTCACAAGGTTGTGTAGGCTAGTGATAAACATGATAACCAGGCCAACTCCAAAGAATTTTAATTATCAGTAGCTTAAAATATTTCAGATTAAGCTAAAGCACACTACTCATTTGCACTGGTTGCTTTATACAGGGACTAAGAATCTGAAACAGTTCAACCATGAAATCTCAATTTCTTGGAAATACACAAAAAAATTAATAATATTTTCATGAATTCTCAAACCTTACTATAGCAAGCACAGGAAATTCAAAGGCATAAGGCATGAAATGGTGCCGTATTTAACTTCAAGTCTGAATTCAAACCACCGAACCCAATCACACAAAATGTTCATCACGTCCAAAAGTACAGTAATTGGAATTTTATGTATGGGCCGTAGGATTTAATGGCCTTGTGTGAACAATTATTCTTGGCAATAAAATCTCATTCAGTGACACAACAGCTTAAATATCCAGTTCCATTATTTTCCACACTTTTGCACAATAGTGAAAATAAAGCAGCGACTTGACAACCGTCTCTTCGGTCCATCAAAGCACCAGTAATTTTACGGAAATCTGGGTTTTGGTTCTTGGTGGCTCGTCGCATTACCACACATCTTTTTGAATTTAGTCAGTAGGGTTGGTCACTGGTAATATTAGATTAACACTAACTTGGTTTATTATAATTTTCTAAGCAGACGCGTTGAATTTGGACTCAAAATTTACCTTTACGAAGTGGTTTTCTCGAATTATTTTTAGAATCCATAAAAGGTGAAAAGTATATTGAAATCGAACTTGTTTCATTCGATTTAAAGGAGAGAATCTCATATTCAGTAGTTTAGTAGCTGCGTAAAAAAACGAAATTTCGTCTATAAAATGGAAACCTTTCGTTGAGCTATTCATGTACACGAAAGTCGAAGTAAATTTGTGATTTGAAAAACGATTTTAGAATTTGCCAAGTCCCACCGTATTGAGGCTACCATTACTTAACCGAAAATCGTTGTCGCACCGTATTTACTCCCTTAAAGTCCAAATGTTTTATTGAATGTCTAAAATTATGCCGACCTATCATTGATCTGACAAACTACGAATAAAGACGTCTTCTTCCGGGTAATTAATAATAGATTATAAAGTAAAAGCTCCGCTTGAGAAGATGGCAGGGGTCTGCGGTGAAGAGTTGGTCTCGAAGCAACGCATACTGGTCTTCGTAATCTTCAAACCTTCGCAAAAGACGGCGCAACTTTTCAATTGTAGATGGCTCTTCTCAATGCTGATTAATAAATGCGGTACGTGTTGTCGACATTCCAAAGAAGTGCTTGTAACTTACTGAAATGGTACCAAATTTGAAGTTTCTGACTTTTACATATTGCAAAAGTTAAAAATCAGCATAATTATATAACATGTTTCTTTTGCATGCATAAAGAACATCAGCATCAGTCAGAGATCTTAAATGAAAATAGAATGGAGGTTGTCAGTAGCCTGTAAATTTAATCCTAATTTATTCAATGCACGAGGGAAGCAGGAAATTTCATTCCTATTTGTTCCTGCATTCCCTGAACATCGCCGCATTGTTCAAGAGTGTTTCGTTGAAACTTTGAATTGCCGTCTATGGCACCTTGAATCACCATTACCATTCCGTCCGCTATTACTTCTGCGGGTTCTGTTTATCACCTGAGTGTTTGTTTTAAGCCGAGAATCCAACTTTGAAATGGAGTAAGTGTCCGAGTAAATTGGGGCGAATTCGCCTTGCAGATTGAGCCGACGGGTTGACAATGGACTTTTGTGGGATAAACACCACAAGAAACTTTGTGTTCTCTTGAATTTCGCTTTTCTTTACAATACCTGCGCCTTGAAGGAATGATGCTGTACACAAGCTTTGAAACAGGTGCTTCAAAAATACATAAGCTTCACAAAATCTCTTTGATTTGTACTCCTGTCTACTAGCTTTGTGCAGGTATTTATCTTTCGACGAGGTGATATGCACAGAATCAACAAGCAACAAGTTGAGTTTGTTATCTACTTACACAAGGTAGACGTTAGAACCAATCTAGATTGTTGAAGTCACACACTTGTATAAAGTTATGAACTGGTTTTTCCTATTTAGCTATGGCGCATTGTTTGTAACTACTGCAGTTAGATTCAAATATCTAAAATTTGGAGTAACTATTGTAAGGTTTACAGCAGAGACGATCCCAGGTGTTTTGGCCCCAAGTTGCAGCTTTGCTTGTTTATTTCCCGTGTTTTCAAGAAAACCTACTTCATGTAGCAGTTGTTCTCACCTATTTTACACATGTCAGGCTGTGTATCTGTTGTGTTTGCCTGTTCATTACTATCTGTACTTCCCCCTGTTTTTTATCACACTAGGGCACGACTCAAGATGTTCTAAATTAGGACTACAAACGACATCGGGATCTATTTTGGATCTACGAAAACACGTATCCTAAAATAATTTCAGCAAAATGAGGAATTATGTGCTAAGACGGCACGAATTGAACCATAGCGAACCGACGTCCTTCTTTATTTTATACATAACTTCCACATCTAGCCTATTTATTTGGGTACCTGGGGCGTAGCTACTACCAGCAGGTCCTTAGACGGTATGAGTCAGGAAGGCGACGTTCCCTGTTTTCGTGGTCCAGGTGTGGCTGTGTTAGCCACGTCCTTTGAAGTGCGACATGCCTTCTCGCCGCCTCGCGCAAGTGCGGCTGCGGCGGCGCGACATACGACACGGATTGATTGTGTGGTCTCGTGCAATGGCATTGTCATTTGCGTGTGCGCATGTGGGTGCGAACGTGCTGCGTTTCCACGCGTGCCTGACGTGCACGTACGCGACGTCTTTTGACGCTCATTGGTCACTTGGCACCTTCGCGGTGAGTGTGCGCGCACCATGTTGTAACACGTCCATCCCCCTATGAACAAGCACGCGAGATCTAATTGGCTTGCACAGTGTTCAACACTCGGAACTCAGATGGCAAACCACATATGCACACGGAACACAACGCTCCAATCGCGATGCATCGCCGTTCAGGTAAGTATCTTCAATGATGCCATTTTCGAGCCAACCCAGCTGTAGTTTATAGTGAGTTAATCGTGTTTTTTAAGCCTGTTTACAAAAGTACCATATTTGCCATTAGGGATGAAATCCTTCGTTGTATTGACAATAACTGGCCACGATTATTGTACTGACGTGATTTCTGCTTCCAGTTGATTTTAGTTAGCCAAGGTTCATAGATGGCCATCTAATCTCGAACCACATACAATTGTGAGATTTTTCTCTCTAACGTTTTTTTACTCTGCAGTTTTCAATGAAAACTTTTTACGTACAAACAGTCTCTCAGGCAATTCGTATCACTTTTGAATTTTGTCTACTTTGTCAATTTTATTCCATTTAGACCATGTTCTACAGGTTTACAGTCTCCCTTAGTTGCAGATTTCCAAATGTTTCTTACCCATTTGTCATACAGGCGCGTTTAACCAAATTAGCGGAAGAAAACTTTTGAAGGCGATTGCGACAATCGTGAATAACCAAGTCACTAGTGAAATGCTAAGTTTAGGTTATTTTCTGTGACGAAGGGCTGTGAATTTAACTCTACCCCATTAAAACTAGGGGTGTGTACCTGTCCACAAGTGTTCCTTCCTTACATTGGTTACAATAAATACGAACTTCACGCCGAATAATCATTAGAGCCGATTTAGTGCAGCGGAAAATTCTACTGGCGTATCGGTGCTTTTCGCCCATTAGGAAATCGTCTTTCTGCAATCCTGCTCGAAGCTTTCTTTGGCACTACTGGGAATCGATCAAACTTGCCAGGACGATGAGTAGCTTATTTTTCCAATAGGCGTGCTACTGCAGCAGTCATAGGATCTGATAGGTAGTGTGCACAGTAACACTTTTTATCCCGACTATTCTCAAAGGACAAATTCAAAGTTTTTCTTAATTGTCACAGATAATGGGCAGTTCCTGCTTTCTGCAGCACTAAACTGTCGTTGGGTCTGTGGTTTTACAATATGAAAAAATGTCGACTCCGATTTGTATCTTCCGAATTTTTACCACTTTTTTTAATGTGGCAACCTTTTCATGTAGGAACACGACAACTGACCAGTACGCTACTTGATATTTAATGTGTAAGATTTTGTAGTGGTAAGAACTGCGTTCGAACCTCCAACCAATAAAATTGTTAAGTATACATATTCAAATTAAAATGCCTACGATTCTCTATTAATCGAAGTGTCACTCTGATTCGGGGCAAATCCTTTTCATCAGCGTTTAAACCGACTGTTCTGTTTTAGTCTTTAATTTGGGCATTATGGGCATGTTGGTGCTCTCACGTAAGATCCTCGAAAGTATTTTCGCGACTCTCAAGTCGACAGAAGTAATCATCGAGTGTTTCGCATTCCCTCCTTGTTTTACGTGCCACTGAAATTTAGTTGACAAAAGCCAGGTTTGTGTACAGGATTTATTCGGTAAAGGGCATTCCTTGGGTGCCTTTTTCTACGGGCCTAGAAGGGCGTCTGCATTTTTATCTATCATTCAAAACAGCGTGCCTTTTATGTACGCCGACGGCGCAGTGACCATCGCGTTACGCACTCGCGCACACCCAGTAATCATAAAAACGGTGTGTGCCCATTTCGTATTTCCGTAATTGTGCACGCTATTCGCTTTCTCAGGCCAGGCAGCGCGAGCGCTACCGGCGACAATTCCTTTGATGAAGGCGACCCCAGCAACGGCCGCATCGCGTTAGTCATCACACACACACACACACACACGAAATGCAAAATCTCCGATATGATCAAAGGCCTCCTTCCCGTCTTCAGTGGGTGTGGTTTCGTCGACAGACCTCCCATTCATGCGCGTTCAGCCCTTTGGGTCTTTCTACCCGGTTAACTTATGAACACTGCCTTGTTGGAGAAATGCCATGCACGAGAAAAGTTGATCACACGTCTAAGTCATTACAGCATTGAAACAAAATCAAGGAACGACTATTTCTGACCTCTATGCCAACAAAAGCCTTATCCACGTACTTCAGCCTTTCCTATCAGTAGTCGCATTAATTGGCACCAAACTACCCGGGGTCAGTATGCACGCCACAATAATTTATTTGGATTAGTCTCCCTGGATTTAACGCGCATTAAGTAGCTTACATTAGCAGACAGAACCTAGATTTTTTGTCACTTCGCCAATGTCACCCACATATTTATTGCTTAACCTATCTTTTAAACGTGACCCCTTTCGTCCAATCAAATCAATGTTGTTTTTTTTAATTCCAAATAATCAACTTTTCAATGCTTGTGTGCCCCTGGGAGGAAGTTAGATTGTCTCATAATTTGAAAAGAACTTATGCCTTATGTGCTAAATTTTTGCCCTATCATTGACACGCTTTGCGTGGTCAGAATCTTCCAGCAAGTAGTTTTAAAAACAAATACTAACATACCCTACTGTCTTGCATGAAATGGTGGTAATATTGTCCATCTTCATCTTGCAGTTTTCCTCAAGAGGAAGCAATGAATGTTCCCCTGGAAAACAGTGGCCCCAATATAAAGATTATGGTTTTATTAAGATTTAATGGATTGTGTACCCGATAGACTGGGAAATTATAAATGTTGTCTTATCTAGACCAGACCATACGACACAATTAATTCTCAGATGGGATCAATTTTGTAAACAGTCTTTGTCAAACACATTCGTACCTGCTATTTAACTAAGCAGTGACTGTACCTGATCTGGCTGCTTTGTGGTTCCTCGTTCGCCAGTTTATGAACTTCGGGCAAGGTTCCATGTTTTAGATGAGTCCAGTTAATAAAATTGCAAACATAGGGAAATTATGTATGCAAGCAACCCACGCATTTTTACGAATTCGGTTCAGGCTCTTTGACTTTCCATTCGATTTTTACTGGCATAGATATCATTCGTTTGGCTTATTTGGCTTGGAGGTAAATGTCTTCTATTAACTAAAGTGGACTCCGCAATCTAGAGTTACTATTCTCAAATCCTGCTAATGCCATTCAAGAGTGGATTCAGCATGATTGCGACCAGAAACAGATGTCACCGTCCACCTCATTACATCGAGTTAGACTAGTGCTTTAGGTTACTTAAATATTAAACCACGGGGATAGCCCCAGAGCATAGATAGATTCAAACAGTTATTTTCCTCATAGCACCATTCAGTATCGCCTTTTGAGTAGTAACCACAAGGACAACATCTCTATGGGTCTCACTCACATGAAACATGTCAATTTGATGAAAAAATTGAGGTACGTTTGGGTTAATAAATTAGTGCTCTACCACTTGACCATCACTTCTGCTTTGGGACTAAGACTATTACGTAATCATTCGAGTGTACTCTTTAAATTCGCCAAAATACAACTTTAGGTGTTCGGAAATCTGTGAATAAGTAGCTAGAGAATGTGGTGGAATTGGAAGCCAGTGACAATTTTCCCATTACAGGTTACAGGGGTTTATGCAGCATTTACTCATCAGCGTGAATCTAACATTGGTCCTGCTGTGCATTATTCACTTTACTTGGAACTAACTCTCCCAATGACTTCAAATTTAATGTTCACACGATGTACAAAAGTTGAAAACTGCAGAATTTTATAATCTCTCCCCCATGCATGTCTGAGGAATATTGAAATCGGTCAGTGAGATTTAGTGAGAATTGAAGCGTGTTGGTTTTGTACTGTCTCACCATCGTCTCATTTCCCTCGAAACAGTAAGAGGCGATCTATGGCACCTTGAATCATCACCATCATTCCGGCCACGGGTACTTTGTAGATTCTATTTCTCGTCTGAATGGTTGGTTAAAGCTGAGTATTTCTGTTAGTTTTCCTATTAAACCGTCTGAGTGAATTGGGGCAGATTTGACCTACCGATTGCGTCGATGGGCCTGTTGCGGATTTTTGCAAGAAGAACATCACACGAAACTTCCTGTTCTCTTGAATTGCACTTTTCTCCACAGCCTCTGCTTCGCGAAGTTACAATGCCGTGCACAAACTTTGAAAGAGACGATTCAGACATGTACAAATTTTTCCTAATTTCCATCATACGCATTTCCTTTGAATAGCAACTGTCCTGCTTTTTGAAAAGTATAGCATAGTCTTATACTCTAAGAATTTATTCATTTAATTTTGCAGTATTAGGTTAAATCCAGTCACATGATTGTATGGTTGGTGAGTCTTCCACCTAACATGAATGTGGTTGATGTGGATCCCTTCAATGGGCACACCGCAATCATTACTCCCTATTTTGCGCACGGTGTCCGACTCAGTCCTCTCTTGTTAGTGACCGAATGACAATCAGTGATTTTTACAAGCTAAAGTCTTTTTAATTTAACTTCCATCGTTGTGTATATTAGTAATGAAATTGTTTAAACGCCTGGGAATTTCCAACATCTCAAAACACGCTGCTACTTTTCTCTAACCCAGCAAGCTTTATTTTTTTAGAAACACTTTCAAAACTAGCAGTGCAGCTAGTAAACACCACACCCCTGAAAGTCCAAGGCTTTTCCACACGCAGCCAAAGTATTGATTTTTAGTGTTTGAGCCAGAAGCGAACATTTGTGGCTTGGGCGGAGTGCACTCTGACGGTTTCAGCAGAAAAACGTCATGTGAAGCGTTGGTCCTAGATTGGATATTTTCGTCAACGTCATTTTCAACATCGGAACGCTTGAGTGGTGACATAACTTGCATTTTGAAATACGCAATCTTCGGTCGTGCTTCCCGGTCGCCTGCGCGCCGCAGACGGTGTTTTAGAAGCAGGAGGAGCTGCATATATATATACCGTAACCACGTATCCACTATACCCACGTGCACCTCTTGCCACAAGGCAGCGGTTGCGCGCGTGTGTGTGCTGTCATCAATCATTTGGGCGCTTCGGCGGCCTTGCCTCCTGCCGCTAGCCTCCTCCTCCTCTACCGTCTCTACCTCTTTCTAATGTTCACAGGCGGCACAAGCATGCTGTTTCAAAATGCGCACAAGCCATTTCACCTCACATGTCTATGCAGATGGGTGGATATACAATTGATATGGTCTTAAAGATTGCCACAAGCAACGCATATCATCCTACACGTTATGTTTGGTCAAGTCTGACTACACCTCCTCTATCATTTTCCTCTGGCAGTTTCTTTTGTTTTTGATGCAGTGATTTGTCAAGATTCTCCCTGACCTACACCCTGTAGACCCGAGTTTGAGTGCTTGACGTACACCGCGCTGTACAGCTCCAAACTCGAGTCTTCAAGGAAACAAGTCATTGAGACAAACACCGATGTGTTCAATTTCCTTAATTTTTATCCACAGATAGTGAGATCCACAATGCGTCAACGTATCCTGAAACTGTAGACACCTAGAAACAATCCTTTTGATACTTATCTCCTGGCCTTTTCATATATACATGCATGCAATGACTTCTAGGTACCTGATTAGCAAAAGAATTCCAGATTGGCAGTGATGTACAGATTAATTAAGTTAGTATCGAATCACACCATAGTGGATAAAACAAAGTCAGGGTTCACGTGCATTTACTTTGTCTATTGGCTGTTATGGGCATGCAATGACCCATCCCGTTGGGACTAACTAACGAATGTGATTAGGCGCCAACAAGAGAAATTCAAATATCGAAACGCAATTTTTCTATCGCAGTTACATCAATCAAACAATATCACATTTTTCCACTTTAGCATTCCTGTTCCCTTTGTACCCCAAGACGGCTTTTTGAATTGATACAGTGATCTGTGAAATTTGCACAAAATCCACACAACTAATCGCAGATAGTTAACCCAGGTGTTCGTTGATTCGTTCTAAGCAATGTGAATGTTTTTGACGTCGCCTCCACTACTGTGAAAGTGGCGTCGCACGGCAGTGGAACCATAAGTGTCCTAATTGAACAAAGACACCAACCAGCGTCAGCCGAATGCACCATCACATGCGCCAACGGCGGTTTAACAAGCGTACCAACTTACACACTTATGCGTATGCTCGTTAACAGGAAGAGTGCGTTTGTATTCAGTTGTCAGTGAAATTCGCACAGTCCACCACTGATAGATTGTAGCCAAGTTCTGGGTCTGGGACCTACCCTTTTTTACGACATGCTGCGTTCATTTCAAGTTAAAAAGTTAAAATAACAGCCACTAGAATTTCCTTTAGCATGGGCACAGTACACGCTGGTATTCACGGCATGCAACTGCCTACTGGAGTAGTCCGTGTAATTTGCCTTTCGGAGCCCCTGTTCCGTTACCGTTTTACGCTCTCGTAGATTTGTAAGTGAACTTTACGATAGCCGAACTAAGGACAGGAATAGACACGTGCAAAGTATAGTGTCAGACTTGAAATGTGATCGTAGCTATACCTCACATCATAAGAATTCCATGAACCTTTTCAACGCTTAAACAGAAAGGTTGATGCGAGGCGATCACTGTCGGCTGAAGGTCGAGAGCTGAGGCACGGCAGGCTTGAGGCATAGGCCAAAGTACTGATGAACGTCAGTTGGTGGTCACATATTGGTTTAAAAATTGTGCTGGTGCCCCAAACATTGATTGAGGCAATAAATGAATGGGTGTCGTTCTGCCCAAACCGTTGCAACGGTAGTGTTGTTATGCTAATACATTTTAATTAGCAGACCAGTCGTCGCGTCTACCAGAATACATGGACATGAAGGACTGCTGATGATCAAAAACACTGTTAGTTGGCTTCGGCTGGGGTTAGCTGTTTGATGATGCCTTAGCTTCAAAAAAATACTGGCTTTAGGCTGTCGATGAAAAAACGCCGTATCCCTAACCATTGTGCTCCAGACGAAAAATACCTTTTCTTTTAACCTAACCACTCTGAAGAGGCTGTTGCATTAAGGCTTTGGGGACGGACGTATTGCGTCATGCCCTATAAACGCGTAAGTAC